TAAGGTTTCACTGACATCAACAGGAATTAAACATGAGCTTTCTGCATCGGATTTGGCATTCTCGCTTGTCACCAACCTGATTCCTCATTGGCTTAATGGACAATACACCCTTTATTCAACACATCATTTCAATATGGACATTGGGAGAAAGGCTTCTCTTTCACATCTATGCTTGATCCTGTATGTTTCTTACTTGCTTCCATTTTCCCATATACAATGCCATAATTTCAAGGAGACTAGTTTAGGAACAAGGTTGTCTGCATAAACATGAGCATAAAAAGAAGGACCTTCATGGGTTTATCATGTTCTGGATCGGGATGTTCTTTTAAGAAATGAGTTGGGAAAGCCCCAAAGAAAATTTACAGCCAAATCCATGGAAAATATTCTGCTATTTAACTAAAAGAATTTAGTAAACATCAATGGGAACATTTACTGAGCATTCCCCAACGCACTCTTACTCATGTCTAGACTGCAGATAGAAGATGGCACTCATTCCTTTCATAACCCAAAAAGTAGGAATTACTAACCTGGTTTTAAAAAAGGCATACAGATGAACGTTGAATATGCTATTTTTCATCATTCTGAAAACATAGAACACTCAATAAACAAGGTCTCAGGTTCAATAGTAATTATTTCTTCTGCTGATTTGAGGCTTCATTTGATAACACAATCCTAAAGGAATGATTTGGAAAGGCTCCCTGCAGTCCTTATTTCATTAACTTTTCATGAACCAGATGCAAATCATATTTCAGCCTCTTTAAAAATCTATACTAGTTTGGTGCTTCTGGACAACTCATTCGGTGCCTAGAGGCATATCTACACAATGGCATACCAGATTAATGCCTGCTTGCCCATAGGCTGCCTTAGTTTCCCAAATCCTATGCATCTTTTACCAAAAAGGGATAATTCTCAACTGCTTAAACTTATCTCTTCAAATTGCACCCTGCTTCCTGCAATTCCATTAAGGAATGAAAAGTCTCTTGCTTCCCAGTCCCACTGTTTACTGAAAATTCATCAAGAATTACTGGAATTCTGTAAGCCAGGTCGTTTGTCCCTAAAGGCCTGAATGAGGGTGCCTCATGCACAGCCTCACTTAGCTGCTCTCATTGGGCAGACAACGGCAATTAGTTTGTTAAAATCCTGAGTCTCTATAAACCATCACAAGGGATAGAGTAAATATCAGCAGTGACTGCTGCAATGCAAGGAGCACTTACACTACTCAGAGAACCAGCAAAACGAATGCAAGAAATCACATTGACTACTGAGTGCCTGCAGTCCCGTTCTTCCTTTCAAATCCTGATGATTTTGTCCCATCCAGTTGCTTTGAAGCACTTAAGAAACCTGATCTACCGCAATTAAATACTGGCAGGATGACTCGAAACCTATCACTCCTACTCATTTCTCAGAGACGATGCAAATAACAACCTATCCTGTGGTTTGTTCTCATAAAGATCCTCTGCTTCCCCATTCAGAGATCCACATGTCCTCATTTTGCTAGCATCCAGGCAACGGTGCATTTTACAAGCATGTCCTGGGCTGGAGCACTCTTTATAAACCTGCCTGCTTGTATGCAGTCTATCATGCATGCATCCCCAGCTGGAGTATTTCTGATGTGACCTCTGCCTACCTGGGATGTCCCTTTGTAACCCCAAGCCTCCCTCCCGCTGCCCCTTCCCTCTCCGCGGCAGCG